ATTCTTAACAGAGTTTGCTTTTTCTTCGAAAGAGAAAACACACCTGCGCATACAGGGACTACAAAATATTTTTACTAATAAAAAGAGCAACTATGGATATTTAACATTACGGCTAATTTATTTGGGTTACTATGTTAATAGTGTTATGGCTATTTTTAAGTATAAAGATGCCTTTGGAGATATATAGTAAAATATTTGTGGATCAAACAATATGATATTTGGGATCACTTCCACATTATTGTAGAGATGGGAAGGACGTGGGAATACGGAGGAAACAAGAGGAGCCATGAACTGATGGAAAAATTACTGCCTTTGAGTTTGTTTTGTTCCTCAGTCTACTTTTATGTAAGTTAGAAATGGAGCCTAATAAAGAGGAGAAAGCAACAGCTAGGGAGATAAATCTAAATTTTAAATACCCAACAATAATATCAAGTTCACTAAAATTGTTCTACTAGGAATATAGCCAGTCATGAAGACTGTGAAGACTTCCCACACAGCAAGATTTAGGTAACCGGGGTTCTAGCCCTGGCTGTGCCTTGTCTTAGCATTGTGACCCTAAGCCTGTCTTCGACCCTCCGTGGGATTCATTGTTTTATTAATATGAGTGTGTCAGACCAGACGTTCTCCAAGGTCCCGTCCAGCTAGGAGAGTCAATGAAATACGAAGCCCACTTAACAGTCGGCGGCAAAATAGGTCAGACAAGCAGTTATAGAGTAGAGCCCAGGCACAGTAAATCCCAACAGCTGCTGGGATCCAGCCTCTGCTCAACTACAAAAGCTAGGTGCTGCAGGTGGGGGCGGAGTGTACGCATCCGACCTCGGCCGACCTCTTGCCTTTGTTCCTCTTTATGAAGCAAGAGGTGTATACCCCAGGATCGGGAGAGAATGAGGTGATAGAATTTAATTAAATTAAGCTTCCCTGAACTCCTTGCGATAGCCCAAGAGGAACAGACCCTCAGGAAATGAGAAGCAGTTGGACATCTGGGACGTGCCCTTTTTTTTTTTTTTTTTTTTTTTTTTTGCTTTGATAATGGCTTTATAAAAGTGGGAACCCAATACTTAGGAACCATAAAGATCAGAACATATCTTGAGTCAAGGGTCAGTTCACAGAACATTCCATATACACAAAAGCAGGCAAGAGTCTCACTGGGATCAAGGAAATGCCATTTCATCTTACAGATCAAGTTTCCCAAATTCCATCTGGGACACCTTCATAAAAACCGAGAGGCAGGGAAAGGCTGAACAATGTATTGGAACAAACATTCTCATTATGAAGGTTTTTTTTTTCCCAAAACAAAAAGGGAAGCATGTATTCACCTACACTAGAGTCAAAGTGTTACTGGTTGTCCCACATACTTCACACAGCCCTTTGGTCATGACGAAGACTACAAAGTGGTGCTGTAGAAGAGACCCTCATTACATGCAACTAATTCAGTTCTCGGTCGGTTCGCGTTCAAACCAATCAATATAAGTTCTTTTTCAAGTTGTTGCTTCAAATTGATTCCCCTAGGGATGATCCACGGATGCCTTGGTCAGTAATAATTTCTTCACTGTCTCTGCGTTACGAAGCTACATAGATGATGGCTCGTACACCTTGAAATCAGGAGGAAAAGCTTAAATCATGATGTGAAAGGAGTGAGTGTGGGTGGGAGGGTGGGGCGAGACAGAGCGATGAGATGAACGCTGGTAACTCCTCTTCCTGGACACCTCTGCCAGAACAGGATTCTACACAAAGTTGTCTGTCTTTCTACCGCGCTTTTCTGCGTACTTCAGTTAACACTAATGAACCATCCATCTTAGGCTTAAAAGCCATCCTATAACGAAGACAACGTAGGTCTATTCCTGTTTATGATTTTTCCTCTGCGCCTCAAGGATTGGACTATACCCCACCTGTAACTTTAACGGCAAATGGTTCTGTACTGTCCAGAAAATAGCAACCAATTCTTTGTTTCAAAAACTTAATAACTTAATAACCATCTTGTAACCCTACCTTGTTATGACCACCTTATAAACATGGTTTTTGTGTCTTAATGACTAACTTACTATGTTTGTGTCCTGTAACCCCTCTGCCTTTTTTTGCCCACCAAATACGCCATTTTTGAAACCCCCTACCCCTGAGCCATATAAACCTTGTTCTTCTCACGTCCAGTGCTGGTATCTTAAATCCCACGTTTAGGGAGAGACAGCCAGTGCAAAGCAATAAGAAGGCTTGCTTTAATTAATTTATCCAGGATGATTTGGGTCAGCGGTATGTCTCCTCACGTCTTTGGAATTACCAACACACGTTGACTTAGAGTTAAACACAAAAACATATAACTGCCATGTAGGAACCTAAAGCATGTCACATGTTCTCAAGGAATGGCCAAATCTCTTCTCGTTCTCTATAGCTGAATCTACTGTTTTCTCACCCACATAATATTGAGATGGTACCTTCTTTTCTAGATAGCCTCTGAGCTTATGGGTAACTTCATCAATCTCTGAACTCACAAAAAAAACAATTCTACTTGGTTGCTTTGAAACAGAATCTGGAGATCCGAGCCATTCTTTAGTCTTATATGTTGTTCCTAGATGCGATCACTTATTCACTTAGTATCTGTACCAGGAACAATGCAGCCACTGAGACAAGAGCTAACAGCTATACAGAGTGAGCGCTGGCCCAGCAGATATATGAAAGCTAGGTGAAATTCTCTGCACTGCATTTACATGGCATGGTGGTTGGCACACATCTGTAATCCTAGTACCCAGGAAACAAAAGCAAAGGGGCCTGGTCGCCCTCAGCTATGAAGTTATTCCAAGGCTAGCCTGATCTATGTTTCTGGAAAAATAAAATGAACTCTCTTTAGAGTTCTGTACACAGGTATGGAAGCGAACTCCCTAAATCATTTTCAAATATAATTGTTATCAATCAAAACTACCACCTCACAATTTTCCTTATATGTCCAAGGTGAGATACTACAATTTCACACGGTGGTTGTTCAAATTTTGAAAGGAAGAAAATAACAGAAACGTCACGGACTCTTTCTGCCATCTTTTTCACAATATATTCTGAATCCTTCCACCTAGTCTTTCATTTTATCAGACATAAGCACCACATTAATTCTAGCCTATAAATTACAGTTCTACCACCTCTATTCTTCTTGCATCTGCACAGACTTTTCTCAAACGTGTTCAGTGTATATAAAAGAGTTATTGCTGCCCTTGCTCTATGACACCCTCTTTTGAGATTCCTAGTATTTGTTCAGCGGCTCTGAAATGCTAGCATAATGCCTTTAACTCTGCGCGCTGAGACCTCAGACTGGTTACCTGATCTAATGCTAGGTCTGTGCTGAGCCACCACAGTAGAAACAAGCCCTGTGTCAAATCCATCCGCCCCAACGCTCATACTGCACGGATGAAGAAACCGAGGCACAGAATGGCTTTCCCCAGGCAATACGGCTAGGAGGCAACACAAGTGGTCCAGGCCCTCGGGGTCTTGGTGTCCACCTTCACTGTACTGCTCCATCGCTTTGCCATGGTCCTCATCCCTTTGCTCGTCCAGCATCCTCAAGTGTGCCTCATTCCGGTTTGCCTGAGTAACCACCTGACCCCATCTCACACACCTTCCTTTAATTAGTCAGTGGCCAATCAACGATGCCGCCACAGGCAACTGCCAAGCCTGCATACCAGACTTCTTCTAGAAAGTGGTATAGCAGACTTATGCTGAGAAACGGAGGGAGTTGCCACACAAATGCAGGAGACCCTACATCACCAGTGGCAGCTGATGATATAGCCAACCTTAGCTGGCCTGACTGACTTTGATGGACTTCAGAAAGCTAAAGTTGGCCCTGCCCTTTTGGTTTGTTTGCTTTGGCGTTTTGCTTTGTTTGTTTATTTGTTTTTCGAGACGTGGTTTCTCCGTGTAGCTCTGAGTGTCCTGTAACTTGCTATGTAGACCAGGCTGGCCTCGATCTCAGAGATTTGCCAGCCTCTGCCTCGCAAATCCTGGGATTAACAGAGCACACCACCAATGCCTGGCGGCTCTTTCTACCCATAGGCTTCATATCAACCAGTTACAGATTAAAACATTCCCAAAAAACTTCACATCCATACTGAATATAGAGAGACCTTTTCTTGCTATAACTCCAAAAACACAGTATAACTACGGTGTGGATATGAAATGTGACCCCAAAGGCTCAGTAGACCCAGGCACTGTCAGTGGCCATGAGGTCTCTAACCTTTCAGTGCAATGGTGTCCAGGGGGCTCACAACTTGATGCTATTCTTGGCAGGCCATAGAAGCTTTCAGAGACTGGGTCTGCTTGGAAGAAGTTGGTCACTTGGGATGTGTTCTCAGAGGCTGCAGCTCGCTCTGGTTCCTTCTCTGTCTTTCTGTCTGCGTCCTAGGAACCAGCAGGTGAGTGGCCCTGCTCCACCATCATGTTCGGCCTCACCCAGACACAGCCATCACTGACCAAAACCTTCCAGATCCATCTTTCCCCCCGTTAAGGGGTGCTGCCCGGATATTTGTGTGACAGTAGAGACTGATATACCACAGTGTGTACATTGCACCAGGAAACACGGGGAATACAGGCAGATGACTTAAAGTACAACCAGAGAATTGCGTGGGTTACCATGAAGAGAGGCCTTTGATGAAACACTTGGCTGTGCATCCTCAAATCGTGGTACCTTGATGGCCTTTCTAAAGCTCTCCCCGGCAGACACTGGAAAATGCCTCTAAAATTTAGATAGCACTACCTAGCCAGAGTGCGAACACATGCAGGTTACACAAGCACTTGAGAACCCACCCACTGAGGCAGTTTTGGGGTGTTCCCACAACAGGTTCTGGGAATTTTTGTTCTGAATACTAAGGCATCCATATGGGACCTATCAGTCCAGTAGGAAAGGGTTGTATGTAGGGTCCTGTGTAGGTGGGGGAAGGGTGGGGAGTGAGAAAACTGAACGAGGTCATCCAGGGAGGTCCCTTAGTAAAGCAGGGATAGCCCGAGACTGCCTTGAGGTCATTACAGCTAATTTACAGCAATCTGTCCACCCCATGCATCCACCCACCCTCTAAACATTCAAATAATGACACCTGAAACATAATTTGGGTGAGCTTTATGGTGTTTTATCTTTTATAGGAACAGGCTGCAAACACAGGAAGCTGATCTGCGACTGTTGAATCTTCTCATTGCTGCCGCTATTTTCTTTTTTGTAACGACAGATACCACTATGTAGATTTCATCTTTAAAAAAAAAAAAAAAGTCTATCAATGGGTAAAGGACAACTCAGTTCCAGGAAACAAGCCTGCACTGCAACTCTTTGGGTGAAAGAAAAACAAAACAAAACAGAAACATTCAGCTTATCCCTGGAGGCTGTCTTTTGTGCCTCTAATCTCAAGACAAAGGTTAAGATGAAAAACGTTGGCTTGACAACAGCCCAAGGTTTTTTGCTCTGGAGTCTAACGACGACAATAGCTTAAAAAATCTTCCTGATTTTTGAGACGACAGAGTCCTTCCAACTCCTTTGAAATGTTAAATACTAAATTGAAGAGGTCCTCTGTTGGGGGACACTTTTTCCTGCTTTGTTTTGCTGGGGTCCCCTACAAGGTACACCAGGAGCCTGCTTTCTAAAGGCTCCTGCTTTCTACAGGCTCCTTTCTGCACCAGTACTCACAGGGGTGTTTTCAACTTCCCTGTGCCTGCAACTCAAAATCAGGAACCAACGGCCCTGGATGAAGCCCAGGAAACAACCCTTAAAACAGAATGATTGGTCCTTATGAAGTGGCAAATACTTCTTCTTTTGCAGCTGCTCTCATCTTTTATTGGGCAAAACCAGTACTGAAGATCTAAGAGATAGGTGCTCCCAAAGAAAAGACGGACAGGCAGCAGGCGCAACTCCTTGGAACAGCTGTCTTTCTTTTAATTTCTCCTTTGGTGAGAGACACTGGCGGCTGCAACACTATTAGGGCATTGTCTATGCAAGTCAAGTGCTCTACCATCTACAAATGACTGGATTTTAAAATGTCCCCAGCCAAGCCAAGCCATGGCAGTTTGGAAAATGGATCTTAAACTGCCCAGTCCATCTGAGTTCACCTCTCCTGAGTGCAAGGTTTTCCCCTCTGCAGATGGTTCTTTAGGCTTCGTGTAAATCAGTTTTAAACCGGTTTCCTATTCTGAAATATGCAGACAGTAATTCTTAGCGCAGAAGACAGCTGTCAGGACTTGGGATGAATCATGTGACAGCCTGCCATGGGTTAGGCGCGTCAACATTCTTAACAACGTGACCGACTCGAACTCTCAATCCGCAGCTCAAGGCTTCCTTAGCCCCCAACCTGCTGCTATGCAGAGAATGCAAACACTATTGCAATGAAAATCCCAGGCCTGATTTCCTCCCTTTACCAAAGTTAATCTTTATGTATTCTGAACCGATCATGGCTTATTTTTTCCTTTTTTCTTTTTGTTTGTTTGCGGTTGTTTGTTTGTCAGTGAATTAATCTTAAGACTGGATATATTCTAACATACAGCAGGCATTCATGTTGTCCAGTGTTCTGAAACATTCTAGGAGGATCTTTTGTGGAATGTTTGAAACCCTGTACCCTTCAGATCCTCCAGGGCTAAATGGAGCCGGAAGTTGTTCATTTTACTCAAGCTCATCGGAGATGTTGGTGTGCTGGTCCGTGGACCTCACGGTGAGTCTGAGGTTCTGGTCTGAGAACATCTAAGAACCAGAAGCCCACAGGAGTTTAAACTGAAAGACGGACTGAGGAGATGGTTCAGAGAGGAAAGTGTTTGCCATATAAGCCTAAGAACCTGAGCTAGAATCCCCAGGACCCATGCTCCTCTGACCTGGCTTAGGTAAATTCCTTCCCCCCCCCCCCCACCAATCTCCCAACCCAGGCCTTTTCGTTGTTGTTTTCTGAATGTTGCTGAAGGCTGAAACAGCAGTGGCCAAAGGCATGCACCCCGGGGTTCCCCCCAAGACTCCTCCCCGTTTCATGAAAGAGGAGAAAACATCAATGTAGCCAGCCGGTTTTTCTAGGTCACACTGCCGGCATGGTGATCTCTGACCCTCTCCTCTCTGATTCAGACAGGAAAGTTAGGGCACAGGGGTGAAGGGATGAGGCCCGGGCCTCAGGGCCTGTCAGCCTAAAGAAAAGCAGGCTCTGGGTCCCCGCTGCACAGAGGAACCAGCCAAGAGCCCGGCAGAGAAAAGGTGTGTCTTTACCTGGGAAAGGCCTTTCCACATCTTTTAAATCACGAGGAGGTGGCGATGGCTCCCCCCGGAGTTTAATGCGACTATTTTCATTTTTAAAAACTTCCTCTCTAGTGAGCCTCTCTTCTAGCTACTAATATTGTACTAAAGTAATACCAAGAGGTCAATCTGCCATCCTTTCCGGTCAGAGCCAACCAGGACACGGGGCCTATGCCGGCATTTTCCCGAAGAAAACTAGCCCAGACTTCCCAGTGCTAAGTGCAACACAGAGATCTTCACAGCTCCACTGGGAGGTTTCCAAGAGCCTGGGGCCTTGCCAAGACGTGGGAAGCACTTTGACCTGCTCAGGAGTCTCCCCTCGAGCTCAAGTGACAGACAATCGTCTCTCTGTCAAAGTGCAGTGTGTGTCTAAGACGGGGGAGCAGGTGTCCTCAATAACTAGAACGTGGAGCATCAAGAGACCTGGACCTTTGGGGGCCACTCCTGGGATTCAACGCGAACATCAGCAAAATGCTCTCAGCTGAAACTGGTCCTCTGCGGCAGCAGGATTTAAAATGTTCACGTGAGATGAGAAGAAGGAAGCAGACAGCTCCATACACAGACTGCAAGCCGTGCAAGCAGGAGAACCCAGGTTTGATGCCCAGAACTCACATAAAATGTCAGGTGTGGTGGTATGTGCTTGTGGTCCTAGCATGAGGGAGACAGATGGGGGTGGGAGGAGCGGTGGGGGAGGGGGGACAGGGGTCGGGGGCGGGCCTGGAGTTTTCTGGCTAGCTGGTCTAGCCTAAATGATGAGCTCCAGGGAACAAGGGAGCTCTTGATTCAAAAAAAATAGGGTAGACAGGACCTCAGAAATCATGCCTAAGGTAGACCTCTGGCCTCCCACACATGAGCACACAAATACCTTCTCTCTCTCTCTCTCTCTCTCTCTCTCTCTCTCTCTCTCTCTCTGCAGGCTTTAAGTTTGTCCTGCTCCTCTATTTTGAGGGCGCTCATATCAGCCCTGAACTTCTCAGGCGGCTTTGCAAATGAGACACAGTCCCTGCTGTGTGATGGGGGGCAGGAAAGGGCACCCCACAAAGAGCTGCAGGGCTGGACCTGTGACTTCATTAGCATCCTACACAGGTGACAAACATGACAGAGGACCATGGTCTTCTCTCCGAAGGACCCCTTCTTTTACAATGACTGTCCACTGTCACGGGAAGTGCATCTCGGATAGCCAACCCATGGGGGGGAAGAGGCTGGATGGGCTCTCATGCAAACCAAGAATGGCGTGTACAGTGAATATTTTTCCAAAGTAATGGGCACCACATTCATTTAACTTCACTACAATGCACTGTTACAAATGTTCTATCTCGTAGCTACCATGCCTGATAAATTAAACGGCACTGTAACTATGTATATGTGGGGGAGATACAGCCTAGAGAGTATGGGCCAGTGTGTTTGGTCCAGTGATTTGGGGAATCCACTGAGGATCTCGGGAAGTAGCCTCCCCAGGAAGGGGAATCTCCTGGACCTCTCAGACTGAGTAATTTATAAAGAGCCAAGATTTATTTGGTTTGTGGTTACAGAGGCCAGGAAGCCTAAGAATGTAATGTTGGCACCTAGCCAGCCCCTTTATGCTATTTGGTGAAAGCTGAAGAGTGGGGTGTGTGTGTGTAAGAGTGTGTGTGTGTGTGTGTGTGTGCACGCATACTCTTTCAATGTCATTCATTCCTTCATGAAGGTGAATCTTTCATGTACCAGGAGTCTCTTCAAGGTCTATATTAATATCATCACAACGGCAGTCAGTGAAGTCATTCAAACACAGATCACACCCGTGACAGTTTTTCCATCCAGCTCGCTGCAATGTGTTTCTTGCTATCTGCTGGGCTACTACATGACTATGTTTGGGTCAAAATACCCTTCCTCACTGGAAAACAGAATGAGAGTCATTCACCATTTACCTCACGGGGGCCACTGCAGGGGGACCTGGGATACCAAGTCCATGCAGGGTAAAGAACGAACCCCTGAGCAACTACGGGACCCATCAGTGGGAGAGAAAAGCAGGTCTGGACAGATGTTCACCCTCCCCACTTTAAGAGGATATCATTGCAAACTCCCCACAGAGCTCTGGAGCGCCTCTTGGGAAATCGGCACTACTTTCTTGTGGGGCAGCCCCAGCAGCTTCATGCTGGAACAAAGCCAACACTGCCTCACCTTGGTGCTTCCTCGGTGACTTACAGAAGCCCAAATGGTAATGGTGATGAAACTAATTACATACCCCACTGAAATAGCTTCCTTCTAAAGAACCCCAAGGACGGCCACATGCATTGTCTTATATACCCTTCCATCACCCCCGTTAGCTAGAAAGAGTGATCCCATTACTCCCACGGTACCTATGAAAAGAGCCCCTAGGGTGGAGAGACACCTCATTGGCAGAGAACTAACCCCACATGTGTGAGGCCCTAGGTTCAATCTCTAGCAGAACAAAAAAAAAAAGTCAAAAAGAAAAAAGTTCATCAAACCTTAAGATTCCAGGAACATGATTGCATACCGTATGTGTTATTAGCACAGTCACCATTACAAGTTGTCAAAGCATTCGTGAGCACTCGGCAAAAAACCTAGAAGACAACACCCACAGATGTCAACAGATCCTACACTTTCATATGTGTACAATACAAAAGAAAAAAAAAAAAACCTTACAGACAGACTCCAGAACTACCTTTATATTAAAAGTAAAGCGCGGGCTTCTGAGAGATAGGCACACTTTACCGATCTAAGCAGCCGTGTTCACAGCTTATTCCCCAGGCTCAGAACATGTCTTCTGAAAGTGCTCTGCCTCCTCACGGATTCTGTCTTCGTGCTTCTTCACACCTGGACCGAGAAGCAAACAGCAGACCCGCAAAGATGACTGGCTGACGAAGCCCCTTATAGCAGCTCTGAATTCCAAGTGTCAGATACATAGACACAATGGGGTGAGAAAACACAGGATTGGAAAAAGAAAACAATAAACCAATAAGCAGATGGCCAGCGCGTTCCAACAGCAAAGCCACCAATTTGTGTGGATTTATCCTGTTTGTTTGTTCAGTTACTGGCATGCAGCATTGCACAACCCTAGCAACAGTGACATCATATGCTTTTTGGGTTGCAACATAGCCGGCTCCTAATTTTAAAAAACCCTACTTCACAATCTGCAAGAAGCCCTTGTGGTTATCAGTGTTAAATAGGCTATTTCAAGTCTTCAACGCAGAGCGTTTATATTTCTCCCTTATATTTACATCTTTTCACACATTGGAGGTTTTTTTTTTTCTTTTAAATACACGCCAAGTTTGTACCCCTGCAGGAATCTGCCTATAACTTCCTTTGGAGTCTGTGCTACAAGAGACAAGAAGGGGCCTCTATGGAGCCGACATAAAGTGTGTCCTGGCTCTGCTCCATGCCAGGCTGCCTTGTGACAAGATTGCCTTTATCCAGTGGCAGGATTTTGGTTAGTCGGCTGGCTTTCATATTGCTACGCTTCATATTAAATTACTGCATTAATCTAGAAAGTACAAATTTCCGTCCTCACAAAAGCTAACTAACTTAGGTACACAGGCGCCACCATCTTTCTATTAGAAACCCAGATTTCTGTTTTGAATTATTGCTGCAATATTTTTTTTCTCGTATCGAATGTTTCATAAAAGGAGCTCATGGGCTGTCAGAGAAATTTTCCAAACTATAACTTATTACATAAGGAATTCATTCTGCCCCCTTCCCCCCAAAAAAACTAGACTTGAGGTGGTAGTTACAAGGCAAAATAATCACAAGCAGATGTAAAAATACTCATGCAATGCGGGGAAAAAAATAAAAACAAAATAAATTTCATGTATTTTGCTCCCTTTCTAAAAAGCCAGATACAGCTGGCAGCAAACTGGCCCCGGATTGCCATTAATTGTGATTATTATCTGCCGCTGACGACTCATAATGCACTGGTTTTCTGAGCAATGGTTTTACGTTATTTTTCTGGCACAAATGCCCACTCACAAATCATAGAAGGTTCTCTGACCAAAACTGAAGTGACTAAGGCATTAAAAGCAATTAGTGTCATTTTCCACAGCTGCCGTTGGTACCAGAAGCAGATCGAGATTTCTTCTCGGGTTTGGCAAGATTTGAAAACAGAACAGAAAAACGCCTATCACAATAAAAAGCCCTGCCTTCTGGAGGCTGGCCAAGAAGAAAACAAAAAAAATTACTCCCTGAAGAGATGTCCTCAGTATTGAAAAGAGAGACAGCAGATGGTGAGAAAAAAAAAAAAATCGAAAACCTTGTGGACCTACCTAGCAGAGCAGACCTGACCTCTGACCTCCCAGCATAAGGGCAAGGGTTCCCACGTAAAGATGGCATCCCTTCGCTATATCCAGAAGGAACGGTGCCTGCCCACACGTTTAGATGTGAGAGTCAAACAAACAAACACAAAAATGCTCGTAAGTAGTTGTAGGTATGCACCAGTGTCTGCAAGACTTCTGGGTCTCTCGAAGTGGAACTTTCAGGATAGAAAACACGATCCCACGTGAGAATATCTCCATGCTCCGCACACTGCAGGCGCGGGGGATGAAGATGATAAAGAGCGCTCCCTTAGCAGGCACACGTCCAGCACGTGAAGAACAGAGTCCTGCAAACAGACAGGGCTCTCCAAGCAGCGCTTCCACACTCGTCAGAGCTGACATTCCCGCTGTCTTGTCCAGGGTGGCAGGGTTTATGACTTTGACTCTAGTGAACGCACAAGGATGGGGGCGCAGTGAGCATCAACCCAAGGAAGCTTTCGATTGAAGACCTTTGTCACTAACTGTAGCTCAGGCTTCGTTTTTGTCATGGATTGGAGGGGTGGCCCTGGAGGAGCCCCTGTTTGTAGGCACTATTGGGGGAAGGGAGTGATGGTGGCTCCTTTGGAAAGTGGGGACCAGAGGATGCTAAGTCGCTTGGGGTGTATGATTAAAGGTGAGATTTGAATACTGACACCCCTCTGTAGCTCTCCTCTCCTCGATTTTCCTCTACCCTAGCTTCCCCTCCTCTCCCCTCCCCTCCCCTCCCCTCTTTTCCTCTCCACTCCTCCTCTCCTTTTTCTCCCCTGTTAGCCCAGTGTATGCTTTCTGGATGCCAGGAGCATTTTCCACACCCTTTATCCCCTGCCCCATGTGCCATGTCACCACAGACCCAAAGCCACAGGACCAGACAGCCACAAGCTGAAGTGGCTGAAAGAACCAAAATAAAGCTTCCTTTCAAGCTGGTTTTTCTATAATATTTTGCAACAACAACAGAAATCTGACTAATAAATAGTCTTAATCATTCAAATGTAAGGGGCTGGAGAGGTGGCTCAGAAGTTAAAAGCACTCGCTGCTCTTGCAGAAGATCTGAGTTAATTCCCAGGACCTACAAGGTGGCTGCTAACAGTCTGTAGCTCCAATTTCAGGGAATCTAATGCCATCCTCTGACCCCTGAAGGCACCAGGTATGCATATGATATGCACACATACACATAATAAGTAAGCAGTTTTTAAAGATTGAAATGTATACATAAGTCCTCTTAGACTGAAGACTGACAACCCACATTCACGTGTACAACACACTGTCTCAAGAAACAATGTCATGAATAAGAGTCCATGTTGCACTCCAGGGTACAGAAACCCAAGACGATTCTTAATTTCAGTGAAGGAAATTAGTAACGGTGTAAGTGGGTTAAAATATTAAGATGATGGCTTAAAAGGGTAGCCATGTAAACCATAGCGGACAACTAAAAATGAGAGCTAGCAGCACACCGCCGATAGGTCTCTGTGGGGCTTCTGTGGGCAGCACTGGAGCACCTCAGGCCCAGCTACTGCCCCACCACCAGAAGCTCACATCACAGCTTTAGCTTTCGAAGATATAAGCATGAGAACATCACAGGCAAAAAAAGCAATGAGATGGCCTTCCACAGGCAGGGTTACAGCTGAGTTCACTATTCCCACTGGGTTTTTACTGTGATGGTAAAAGCAAAATGCTGTGGATCCCTGAGAGGCTGCAGTGGGCAGCAGGTCCTGAGATCATGCCGAAGGTCCCTGAAGTGGTGGCAGACAGCAGAGAGTGGATCCCAAGAGCAGCCTGTCCCAGGCAGGGATGGCACAGTTCCCTGAGTGGCTGCAGCAGGCCACAAGTCCCAGGCAGGGTGTTGCCTGGTGGGTGAGAGACCTTGATGGGGTAGCCAGTCCCACAAGAAGAGACAGACAGATGGGCACACCACGAGACCATGCCACAGGTCTCCAAAGGCAGATGGTCCCAGGCTGGGAGCCACATGGGTGAGAGACAGGGATAGGCACACCATGCAGAGTGAGGCTGGATATTTATTTAGTGGGTTATGAAAGGGAAGGGGAGAAGGGGAAAGAGGAGAGAGAGAGGGGGGGGTAGAGGGAGGGAGGGAGGGAGAGAGAGAGAGGGAATAGGGGGACTCAGGCTGGAAGCTGAAGATCAGCTTGCCTCTGTGGACTAGGGGGAGGGGAGTGAGCGTGGCTTGTCTCTTAAAGGGACATTACAATTACCATTTTGAAATACTTCAGATCACTCATGAATACATCTCGGAAGGCCTGCACACACACTACTGTGCCTTCTGCCCGTCTGCCTGCATGCATGTATTCTGTGGTCCTACCGTGATAAAAACTGAAACTAACATATGACAAAAGATGAAGACAAAAGCAAGCCAGCTCCAGGATCCAAGAAGAATCTTTTTTCTCAGTTTTGTTGTTTTGTTTGTTTGTTTTTTAATCACTCATCAATATTCTCAAGTAGAGGAGCATCTCTAAGGAGCCTTTAAACACTTTCAAAGAGTCATTGATGGCCTCTACGCGATTATTCAATCTAACAAAACCTTCCAGAAACCCCACAAAGCAAACCTAGCGTGACTTCTCTGTAAATAATCCTAGAATTTAGAATGAATGAGGCCAAAATTAATGAAGGTAAATTCGCGTTTGATGCGTTGATCGTGTGATAAATGATTATTCTATGTGCTCCGACCAGTCTCGTTTCACCTTTATCGACTTCATCTCCAAAATGGAAACATCTCTTCTTTTCCGAGCTGTGTGACCCTGTGATTTTCAGATAGATTGGCACAAACAACCTCCAGTCACGGAAATAGGGATCAGTGGGCCGAAAAGGGGAGGAGACGCTGGAACCCACAGCCTTTTATGGGGTCCCTGCCAGCACAGGACACGGTGAGCCGAGAACCCGAAATTCTCTTCACCCATCACTCCACACTGGTGTTGATATAGATCGGCGGTTCCAACACCGCTTTCGATAATAGTCTCCAGCCACACCTGACAGGATTATTGAGTAAGAATCTGTATTTTCTTCCCCTTGGGTAGCAAAACTGTGTCTTAAGCAAGTATAGTCACCGGATGGTAGTAGAGCACGCCTTTAATCCCAGCATTCAGGCAGTAGAGGCAGCCAGATCTCTGTGAGTTTGAGGCCAGCCTGGTCTACAAAGTGAGTTCTAGGACAGCTGGGGCTGTTACGCAGAGGAAACCTGTCTCGAAAGGAAAAAAAAAAGAAAGAAAGAAAAAAACCTACACAGTCTGGCTTCATTGATCCTCTCACGGTTTTAGCTAGAATGTAGGCTGCGGGCTAGATGTAGCCTGACATCCTACAGGACCAGAAAGCATTCACTTCCCGAGCCAGAACCTTCACACAGCAAACAAGTGCACAGCCAATGGTTAACTGGCATTTACGTTGTTACAGAAACAACCTGGCCCCCCTTCCCCCACCCTGCAGAGCTACATTCTTACCGCGAGGTTTAATACTAAGAATGACACACAAAAAGGGTTCAGGGGTTTATTCGCTATCTTATCATAAACACATATTTTCATAGATAAGAGCAGGGGTGAGCAAAGGGACACCCCCATCAATAAGAGCGCTCAGCCTTAACAAGGAGTTTATTCTCAAAACCTGAGAAAGCTCGGTTCTACCGGGAACCTTCTCTACACTTGCTCAGCTTTTGCTGCGGAAGCTGTGGCGAAGTCACTGAGCTCCACCACATCACCAGCACTGTTGTGGCACTCAGAAAGAAAATGGCACCTCTGGCTCCTTCTCAGCCGCCAGAATAGCATCGATCTGTTCCTCCCCCTGGCTTGCCCAGCAGTTCCCTGTAACCCCAGCTTTGCAAGGGAGGCTGAGCAGCCGTCACCCAAGTCCCTACATTTGCCTTTAGAGAAGCTTCTCACACTGCCCTTGAATGTTCAAGGACTCAAACGAGGGCCACATTGTTTCTGCCACATCAACCACAGGTCACTGTGGAA